ATGTTACGGGTATGCAACATATCATTGATATGCAGAAGGAACAGCGTTGGCGATAGCACGCAGCCCTGTGGAACACCAGCATTAATAGACTTGCAATCGGAGCTTGCACCGTCTATAACGACAAGATGCTCCGATGATGATGCTCCGATCTGCAAGAAAGCTGGTGATCCAATCGCACAATTTCTCGGGAAGCCCATAGGAAGGGAGCTTCGAAAGAAGCGCTTTGTGCCAAACCCGATCGAAGGCCTTCGCAATGTCCAAACTAACGGCCAATGCCTCCCCCTTGAACTCTACTGCCTCCGCCCATCTGTGAGTGAGGTAGACCAGAAGATCACCAGCTGACCGACCACGGCGAAAACCGTATTGGCGGTCACTAATCAGCTGGTGATCTTCAAGGTACCTCATGAACTGGCAGTTTACAATGGACTCCATTGTTTTGGAGAACAAGGAGGTGATGGCGATTGGCCGGTAGTTGGACGGGTCTGAGCGGTCGCCTTTTTTAGGGATCGGGTGGACGAAAGCCGTCTTCCATGATTTTGGGACTACGGCCTAGGGAGTAGGAGTACCGGAAAAGACGCGTTAAAACCGGTGCCAACTCTGGAGCGCACGTCCTTATCACAATTGGGGGGATTCCGTCAGGCCCACTCGACTTTTGGATGTCCAGGGAGAGGAGTGCTTTGCGAACCGAGCGCTGAGTGAACTGCACTTCCGGCATGGAGCACTCACACCGCGGGATGGTCGGCGGCGTACTCCCCCCGTCATCGAGAGTCGAGTTAGACGCAAAGAAAGAGCCTAGAAGATCGGCTTTCTCCTTTGCAGTATGGGCCAGTGAGTCGTCCTCCCTGTGCAGAGATGGAAGAGATGGCTGACAGAAATTCCCCTGGACAGCCTTGGCGAGAGACCAGAATGCACGGGTTCCAGAAGGAAGGCGAACTAGTTTCTCGCCAATTCTGCCTATGTGCTCTGACTTTGCCTTGGCAATGACTCTTTTGAAGGACCTAGAGGCGGAATTATACTTCTTTTTTAGAGCGCTGGTGTTTACATCCCGGGACGCTGATGCATCAACCCAGGCTTGGTAGCATTCCTGCTTATAGCATGATGCTATTTTACAGGAGCGACCAAACCATGGCTGAGATTTGCCTCCAATGGGCACCACAGAGGAAGGAATAAAAAGTTCCATACCCTGAAGTACCACATCAGTAACAGAATCCGCAACAACGTTGGGATCATCCGGCGAGAAGCAAACCCGCCCCCAAGGGTAGGATGCAAAGAAAGACCGCATCCCATCCCAATCGGCCTATGACCTATAGTGCCAAACACGGCGGCAGCCTGCAGAATGCAACCGCGATTTCAGCGTGAGTGGCACAACACTCCGGACCAGATAATGGTCCGAGGAGCCTAAAGGGGCGTCGACGGAAATCTGATATCCGTCCGGGTGAGAGGTCAGCAGAAGGTCCAACAGGGAAGGTGCATGATCCTCCACATCTGGGATCCGCGTAGGCGAAGAAACCAGTTGTGTCAGACCATATGCCAAGGCAAAATCATGAACAGATCTCCCCGCATGATCGGTTAAACGTGAACCAAGCCATTCGGCGTGATGGGCGTTAAAGTCGCCGAGGATCACGATCTCAGCGGAGGGGATCTGCTGTAGCAACGAATCTGCAGCCATTTGGACGTGGTCGAAGAGTCGGTCTGTTTCGGCATTACCGCTATGGGACCTATAGAGGCACCCGTAGACGCGCGGATGGTCGTCGCTGTCTACGCGTAGCCAAAGGATGGACAGGTCCGAACCTTCAAGTCTGCCGAGGCGTCGAGAACAGATGTCCTCTCTGACGTAAACGCAAACTCCAGCCCGAGGCACAAAGGAGTGTTCCAGTTTGTACCCCGGGTAGGAGAGATACGAGACATCAGCCGGAGAGGACACCTGCGTCTCGGTCAGAAAGAGCAGAGCCGGCTTCGCCGTCTCGAGGTGGTAGTGGACGGCATTTAGGTTAGAGTGAAGTCCCCTGATATTGCAGAAATTCACGGACAGCGTGGCAGGGGTCGCCTTGGTCTTGTTGCTCCGTTTGCCCCGAGCAGTTGTAGTCTTGAGCGGAATTTTGCCCCCCCCCCCAGAATACGCGGGGCAGCCTGAGCACCCACGCTCAGAAGTGGAGAAACATGGTCGTGGATGCTCACCGAGGGATTCTTCAGGGGTGCTGGTACCCTCATGGGGTATTCTATCATTATTTAATTCCGCTACCATGTTGATGGGGGGGGGGGGGGATTTGGGCCTCCGGCCACCTGCAATCACCAAACGAAATGCGGAAGCAGAGCTTCCACTTCACGCCGGTATTCTGTGAGGTCGTGGTACCACCCCCGGTTTGAGCCGGCCCATACGTGCAACAGCAAAGCTGCCGCGTGGCTCTACCACTGTTATTTTATGTTTATTGTTAATTTATTGTTAATTAGCGCACTACTTGGCGGACGGAAGGATGGTATTGTACGATCAAAAGTGCGCATGGCTTGGTTAACAGGTTTATGACATCAGGACGTTAACCACAGAGTACCTACGTCAACCACCTCGATCCCTATGAGCATGGGTGCTGTAAAGTGCCCGAAACGTCGGGAATTAAAAAAGTTTAAATCAAACGCGATAAGAACCGTAAAATTGGTACTGCTGCTAGTTATGACATTATAATTAATAATGGTTACGGTTTATTCATTAGCGCTATTCGTAGTTACAAAATAGAAAAATAAAACTCCATAGTCCCTTCCAGTTATAAGTACATTACTCAAAACATACAATTGCTAATTATGGCTGTTTTGTATACATATGTTGTATGAATGTGTTTGTTAAAACTCATAAGATATCCGAACATATTATTGTGTTAACTAATCCACTTCAAGATTAAAAACATTTAAAACAGAATACTCCTGAATTAATTGTAATAAAGAACTACGGTTGACAGTACATTTGTAACCTTCCTATTTATTATTTAATTGCTTAAAGATGTAATGAATTACTCACGAATTTGGCTGTTTTACATGCCGATGCTCAAAAGGATTATATTCTTGCTCATATTCATCCCCTTTTTGGTTCATTTTTGACCGTTGATTGGTTTCCAGTTCGCTGTATATTCAAGTATATGATACTATGTCATTTACACTCGCATTGTGTTCTGTAAAAATTTAGTGACTGAAAACTTACTTGCTTTCAATTTTGATGATTACAAAACCCAGGCAGATTCATCTGTATATAAAATTATCATGTTATGGCTTTAATAACAGCACTTAAAGATAACCTGATATTAACGGAGCCAGCATTATGTAGTTCTATTTACAGTAGAAAGGATTAAAGTCAAGTGTTTTGTATAATAAACTTTCGTTTGTTGCTTATGAAAAGTAAATATAGTTGCTCAAAACAAGACCTCTTACTAATGATTGTTCAGTTTGACATAAAATATGACTTTACTATCAGTTAATATCTATTATCATAACTTAATCATTAACTCTTAAGGATATTAAAAAGACTTATGAAATGACGACGTCTTGATAGATTTCATGATTTTCGTAAGGGATGGCGGATGGTATTGATGCTTTGCCGACTTTCGGAGTCATCAATACCATTAGGGTCCGCGAAACAGTTCATTGTGATAATTAATATCTATGTGACTGAGAGTCGTTGATGAGAAGAATATTCGTTTACTTAAGGACCCTTAACAGTAGTGTAACCCTTTACCCTAATACGTTTAAAAATGATTAAGCGAAAAATATGAAGATGTGATGATAAAAGAAAAAAAAACAAATCAAGAGTATTTTAATATACGAAAAATACGCAAATACAAATTCTATTAATTTAATTAATCAATATCTATCTATTTTGTATGCATACTATTAATTTATCTACTATAGAGAAAGCCATTACAAAAAAGCGTTTCAAGAAACAGAAACAGAAACTTTTTTATTCAATGTAGATTATGAACAATACTTATTGAAAGTCAATTTTTTCATTTACCACTGGTTCGCAAAAAAAACCTCTGTCGTAGGAAGAACCAGCAAGAAACCCAGCGGGACAATTTTTTTTTCAAATAATAGCTTACAATCATGTTTACAATTAACAACACAAGACACATTAGAAATAGTTTGGTAGCGATCACCCTTCCCAGGGGTCATTATCATGCATAAATTCCTTAATATTATAATAACCCTTTTAACACTTAAACCCTACCCGGGAGATCCAGCAAACCCCAGAGGTTGAATATTTGTAGATATTTTTGCAATAATGAAACGCACTATTGTGCCACTCGAACTAATCTTTAATTACGTTGTCGGCCATTTTTTCACTAGTCTAGCGTCAACGCTTACACAATTTAGAGGGTATTATAGCTATTTATGGGTCTGTCAGACCCCAGGGTAGTAATAACGTAGTATTTTGTCATTTCTTTTTGTCGATACATTGGTGAATGCAGTTATTTTTGATACAATATTTTAAAGGGTAAATTTAATATTTGATGTATTTATTACAATAACAATAGTGTTTCTTTCTTTAGGAACGTATATGAACAAATCTAGCAATTTTGTTGTTTCGTTTTAACAGTTTATTCAATATTGTGTTTTATGTCATTGTTTTAGTTTTAAGGATCAAAATTGTGTAAGATAGATCTACAGATCACTCAGTGGTTGTATTAAGACCAATCAGAAGATGAAGAGGCATGTGAAGTCGCTGTTCCCGACCTTGATAATGATGTTGACGAAGACGGAATTATTGAAGACTTTCGAGCAGAACATCCAGATGATGATACAGAAAATTCTTCATCGGAAGATGACACTCCTCTGAGTAATTACAGTTCAGGTAATTTTCTTCGTGTCTTACCTGTCACTAACAATCTGAAGGGCAAGGACGGGTTTAGGTGGACAGGTGAAAAACCAGCAAAGTCTAGAGTCCCACGAAGACATATTTTGTTTCATCGTCCTGGACCTAAAGCTGCAGCTCGTGAAATAAAAACAGAGCTAGAAGCATGGAGTATTTTTTTTCTGATGAAAAGCTTGAAGAAATTGTAAGAAATACAAATACTGAAATTGGTAAACAAAGAGAAAAATATAAACGAGACAGACCTGTACAGAATACGGAAGACGAAAACGCGGACGCATCAAGTTCCACAAAAATACGTCCTTCTTTTGCTAAGGATGCAAGTGTTGGAAATGAAGGGTTTATTTGGACTTTACTACTTAGCAGGGGTACTCAACATGAATCACGTCACCACCAAGGAATTGTTTGACAAGAACTCAGGTGTTGGCTATTTTCGTGCCACCATGAGCCTAGCCAGATTTGAGTTTTTGACAAACTGTCTGCGTTTTGACGACCGGTCTACCAGAGAAGAGTATATATATATATATAAACCAAATAAATATGGTATAAAAATTTTGATGACTTGCGATGCTAAAACTGCCTATATGTTAGATGTTTTGTATATTTGGGCAAAGGCTCATGCCCTACAAATGTACCAGCTGCTCATTTCTTTACTTTGAAATTGACTGAAACAATTCATGGCACAAACCGGAACCTCACTTGTGATAATTGGTTCACGTCAATACCTGCAGCAAAATAATTGTTGCAAAAGCAGGTGACCCTTGTAGGTACACTACGTAGAAGCAAGAGAGAAATTCCACCTTCTTTTCTTGAGCTAAACGATCGCGATCGCAACACGGCAAAGTTCGCCTTTACAGGAGAACTTACGCTTTTTTCTTACTGCCCCCCAAAATCCAAACAAAAAAAAATTGTCTCCATGTTGTCAACTATGCATGCAACAGCAGATCCTGATGCAACGATTCAAGTACTAGAGATGACAGAGTTTTATAATAAGAATAAATACGGAGTCGATTTAATGGATCAGCTATGCCACAAGTACAGCGTATCTAGGAGATCAAAAAGGTGGCCAATGGCAATTTTTTTTTACCTTCTGAATATAGTAGGTATTAATTCATATGTCCTGCTAAAAATGGCCACAAAAAAGAGTTACAAAAAAGACGTCATTTCTTGAAAAAACTTGCCATAGATCTGATCACCCCTCAAATGGAAGAACGATTAACATGGCACTCTTTGTCCATGAATCTTCAAGTTCTCTTAGGTGGAATCTTGCAAAAGAAGCGGCCATTGCAAGAACCAAGTTCTGCTCCCACTGCTAAAAAAATATGTGCAATGTGTCCAAGGGGTGAGGATCGAAAAACCAAGGTCACCTGTGGCATGTGCCAAAAACCTCTTTGCGGTGAAAATACTGAGGCTATGTGCCAAGAATCTGTTACCAAAAACCATTAACAATTTTTTTGTATTGTCTAATAAGCAGATTATTATAATAAATAATAATAGTAATTAAATTGTTTTTTATTTTTTAAGTATGAATTTTTATATACTGGGGTCCTTAAAACCCCTGGGTAGAAATAGTGTTTCTCCTAGAATGGGTAGGGTTTAAGGGTTAATACAAACATAGTTTAATGAAATTTTTGAACTTTGCGTATGACAAATTTTGTATATTTTCCGGGATTTCGTTAGAAAAGCGTATACATCGCCCCAAGAATGAATTACTGACTCGGTGGAGTCGAGTAACTGGTACTACTAGCTTGTGTCTGTTCCTAGTATTTACAGAATGAATATCACATATTTTTGCAAAACTACGTTTATATTTGTGGACGTGCATTACATTTTCATAAATGTATTGAGAGGCCAGAGTTAATATATTAATTTCCTTAAATTTTTGTCTGAGTGACTCTTTTGGTTTTAAATTATATTTGCTCTAATGGCCTTCTTCTGTAAAATAAATATAATTTTAATTTCAGTCGCGAGTTCCCATAGCAAAATACCATACGACATAATGCTATGGAAATAACAAGCGCTGTGATTAGTACTACAAATCCTTAATCTTGGCAATAGCAGCTATGAAGCTCTTAACCGAAGCACTATACTGTTTATAAGTTAATAAGACTGTTTATTTTTATTTTCTATGATTAGCGTACCGTGGATGCAAGATAGTCCGCGAAATTATGAATAATATGGCCTTACAAAATAACCGCAATAACGTAATCCATAATCTGCTTATGAATTTCTCTAACCAGTACTTGGTTTCCATACAACAAGTAAGAGATTGATTAAATAAGCAAGCACCATCACCAATTATTGATATTAAATAAAAAAATTATATAAAAACTACAATCCAATGCTTACCAAAAACAAAGTAAATAATTGAAATTACGTAAGTATCTATAGGTATATTGTCTCATCCTGCAAACAAATGAAAAATAAAACTAAACTCAACCTAGAATTTTTTTTAACCTTTAATTAATAGGTGTGATCAGGCTTGCAATTAAAAACCATTTTTTCCGCGCAAACTTTGGTTTTAACACTTTAGGGTAAGATATTAGGAATTATATTTGTCCTAAGAGGTGACATTATAAAGGTCGCCACATATATACAGAATTCCATTTCGGGATTCCGTTTCGGAATTCCGATTCGGGATTCCGAACGCAGCAAGTCCATATAAAATCAATGACCCGTCACACACCTACGGTAGTTTTCCTTATGGAATTTCACAGGCAAAACGGGATTTCGTAAGTGAGTGGCTGACACGTTCGTACCGTTTAGGAATTCTGAAACGGAATTCTGTATGTAGTATGTGGCGGGCCTAATACGCCAAGTTTTTGTTTGTTCTTAGAAGTAACGGTGACCGACTCTCTGCGTTCCAATGTCTACCTTATGGTAAGTGAAAGCTGTGACCCATAGATATCTATTTACATCTAGGAGCAAACACCATCCATACTACGTGACTCTACCCCACACACTACATACGGAATTCCGTTTCGGTATTCCAAAACCAAACGAACAGGTCGACCACACACATACGGAATCCCGTTTTGCCCGCAAATTTCTGTACGGAAAACACCGTAGGTGTGTGACGGGTCATTGATTTTACATGGACTTGGTGCATTGAAACGGAATCCCGAAACGGAATTCCGTATGTATGTGGCGGGCCTATCACGTGATTTTTTAAATATTTATTAGAATGAAACATAAACAGGTTTAAAATAATTAATACATAAAATAAATTTTCAAATTACAGAAAGGCATTATTGTGAACCCAACCGTGAAGGTCAAGTGCGCGAATGCGTCTGCTTACTTGCTTACTTATTCGTTCCTGATATAATAATTATGAAGTAAATAGTTATGATATGTTATGTTAGGCTTTGCTCAGAGTTTGTCTGAGTGACAGACTTCATATTGAGGATACCCACAATAGAACTAGAGTACTTAGCATAGTCCAACGAATCAGTAAGCTGAAGTGGCAAAGGGTCTCGTACCGGTAAGTGAAGTATAGAACGAATGCCTACTAGACGGAGTGACGACCTGGTAAGAGATGTAGACATATGATGGATGCAGTTGGCATGGGGCCGTGTTTTTTGGTGTTCCAGGGATGTTTGATATATATATATATATATATATAAACAAATTAAAAAAAACACTATGTCACAGCTCTAGATCGCGCGGGCGGGTAGATGCCACTGTTAATAAACCACGCAGTTTTGTTTTCATTTATGATAATTACCATTTTTAGGCAAATTTGAAATAAACTTACATACTTATCTGAACAAAATCACGTTTCCAAAGTGCGCACATAAATAATGACAGCGTTTTATTCGTCACATTAAACAAAATTATTGGATTGTCGAAAATAACGTTCGCGGTTTACAAAACAAAGAACTAGTAATCTTCTCGCTCACTCACAGTCGACTAACAAGGATCAATAGAGGTGTAAAGCTTATGGAGAATTGACTGTTTGTACGAAGCAAAAATTTATAAATAAATGTAGCATTTATTATAGATGAACTAATACGAGTGTAATATTTAAAGAAGTATCTTATTTTTGGGATTTGGAAATACACTTGTACTTGTTTCATAATATTTATTTTAAATTATTAATTTATTTACTGCAAAAACTAACAGATTTCGTCTTACGGCATCATCAGGTCATGGAAGAACAACGAACATATACACATATAATTGTTGAACAACACACCTATAATAATATATTAGTGGTAACTTTATATAGGCAAGCTATAGCCTATGTTCACAAGTGGACAGTAGGCTGTAACGGTAACTTCAGAGGTTTATTAATATAATATCCCTGAGGTTTGTCCTACCTGAAACGAAGCACTCCTGTAGCGTAACCTGATAAAAACCTTGCCCATAAAAACGGTGTTTTTATGGGCTTGCTTTTTATGGTTTTTATGGGTTTGCTGGGCTGGAGTTTTGGTGGAAAAAGAGCCAAAAACTTCACACTAGTAACGCTGCTTCTCTTTACCTTTCTGTGAGATTAAGGTTCAGTAAATTTGTAGAGTTTTTTTGTCAATATTATTTAGTCATAAGCTTATAGTCCAGGAGGAATCGGCGCATAAGTACTGAAAACTATTCCACATCAATCATTGCGCTGCTCTTCAAATTGTCAATGTTGCTATGGGGCAACTCGGTGTCTTATAGTTTAAATCGATTTCTTTTCAATTGCAAGGAATTGTTATCTTAAAACAGTACAATTTTTTTGATTTATTTTTATTTTGTTGAGCCCATTAAAAATACATGAAGAAAAATAATAAAATATAAAAGACATTTTTTATACTCTTTGATGAAATACAAATAAAAAGTTTCTATGACTTTATCGTAAAAAGTCACAGAATCTTTTTTCTTCTTTATTTTCGGAGCTATTAATTTTAAAGTTTCTAAATATTCCAAATTCATAACACCGAAAATATTAACTTTATCTTAAAAAGTCATAGGATCTTCTTTATTCGTATTTAATCAAAAATTATTAAATAAATTGTCCTGTTTGAAAATAACAATTACGTGCAATTGAAATAAAATCGGTTTAAACAAATGGCATCGAGTTGCCCCATGGCAACATGCATTTATATCTTCAGTAGGACAATTTGAAGAGAATCGCATTAAAAATGGAGGTGGAAGTAGTTTTCGGTACTCATGCGCTAATTCTTCCTGGACTGCTAGTCCGTCAATTAACACGATGCACCGCGTGCAGGAGGAGTAGACAAAACTTTAACCTTACTGACATTTTTTATAATAGTAATTTATATGTAATTTTACACCAAATACATATCAAAGGAACTATGCGGTTGCTGGATAGTTCCGAGTGGTGTTGTGCTTATAGCAACTCAATTGGACCGGGGTCTGTGCTAAGCTGTCAAGTTAAACTATATTATAAAGATATTAATAGTTATTTTG